AAAAAAAGGCTGTGGAGACAGGAGAAACTTCTAATGATCAGAGGAGACGCTTACACAATTAGAGAGAATAAAATTGAAGAAGTGAGAAGGTATGTAGCTGAGCTGTGTGGAGAATGTAACTGTGAAAAATAGATGTAACTGTGTATAGAAATATGTGACTGTGTAGAAGGTAGATGTCGCTACGGAAAGAGATGTAACTGTGTAAAAAGAGACAAAACTGTGTGTGGAGATGTATGTATTTACAGGACAGGGATATGTGTATGTAAAGAGAAATGTGTAGCCGTATGTAAAGAATTCTAACTATATGGAGACAGGGAATTTCAGAAAGGGATTTTTCATGATGAAGTAAAAAAGAAAGTTGCCATCAGAAAGCATGTGTGTTTTCTTATTTACCCTCAGATAGAAAAATCTAGCACACAGATAGAGAAGGAGTTTTTCTAAGGCCTGCTGCTCTAAAGGCATTCTTCCTGCTACTCCAGGTACAGACCTGGGAGCTATCAGACTAGGGTGCAATACAATACCAACCTGCCAGGCAAGGTATGCCCACTGATGCAATTAAAAGTGTAATTGTTCTGGTGTAAGAAACCACTTTCTGATTGGATTTGAGGCCTTTACACAGGAGGGATTTAATGCCTGGTATTGTAAATCTTACAGGAAGCCCATCATTTGCGCAAACATAGAGACAAATGAGGACCTACTGGTGGTGTTTCACAGATCATATTGTCAAACTGCCTTCTTAATGTTTATGATGATACACAAATATATGTGCTAGTTTCAACTTTATTCAGAGAAATGCAGAGATGAATTACCTGACCAAAGTGCCGAAGGAAAGCACGACTGTGAGTGCTTGTCTGTAGGTGGGATATCTGTCTCAACACAACCTCCATCAAAGAGGATGAGCAGGTAGGTAGAATGTTAGATCTAGATGATTAGAATGATATCTGTGAAATGCTGACTTTTAGATATGATGTGGTGCACATCTATTTACAGCAGCGATGGTTGCCTATGCCAGACCGGCAGAAGATCAAGCTACTCAAACTTTCACATGAATGGGAGAAGGTGTCTGAAGGTCCCACTTTTGGTGGAGGAGCTATAAGTAGTTTATGGCTGCTGACTGACAAATCACTTTCTTAAAGGATATTATAGTTGAGAGGTTGCTCATCTTCCAGTGCATAGAACAATACCTATTGCATAGCATCAGAACTAATTGTAGTCAGGGGCATTAAAGTAATATCAATCATAAGAAAAGAAGACATGAAGTCAGGAGTGAGAAAGATTGGTCAGACCCAAGGAGAGTGAGGGGCAAGTAACATGGCATGGATGAAATAAAAATGAATTGTATAGACCTATGTAATTAGCAAAGAAAAATAACAATATTATTTTAAAAAGAATAAATAAATATGAGTTTCTGTTTAATTATAAAGTAACCAAATTCACTCATGTTCTGACTGCAGCTTTTATTTTAGTACACTGGGTAGAATTAGGATAGTTCTTGAAAGAGGAAAAAGATTGTTCAGAGCTCTGGGAAAGGGTGGCAAATAGTTTTCATTTCTAGATCAGCAATGTTGGCTGGTCGTGATGAGAGAATCAGTCCTGCAGTTCTGAACTATGATTCCATTCAGGAAGTACCATCCATATAGTGTTTCTGTTATTTACCACTGAGTAGCAACGCAGGCTCCAAGGCCCCAGAGCTGCTGTTCCTTCTCCGACTGGGTGTAATAGAAGTTACTTTGCAACCTAAAACATAGCATAATAACAAATAAAAGCATACAGATCCATGAGCTCCTGTGAGAAGTCTGGCTGCTCTTAGACAAGGGAGAACTGGGGTGGGGAGGGCTAGAGTATAGGAACAATTAAGCAAAGGGTCCCTCGGGTGACACCAGAACTACAAGCAGTTATTGTATCAAGCCTCTCTAGCTCACAATTTCAAAAGTCAGCCCCTTTTTCTGGATAGTGTTATGTGTACCAGACATAGTCTAAAGGCATCTGAGAGGAGGGAACCTCATTTAAGAAAATGCTTCCATGGGACCCAACCAGGCCCCCTGAATGTGGGTGTTAGTTGTGATGCCTGGGCATTCTATAGAGTCTCTGGCAGTGGAACCAGTATTTATCCCTAGTGCATGATTGGAATTTGGGAACCCATTCCCTATGGAGGGATACTCTCTCAGCCTAGATACATGGGGGAGGACCTAGGTCCTGCCCCAAATATAATGTGTTAGACTTTATAGGGGGTGAGATAGGGGGTCGGGGGGTGGACATGAGAGGAGGGAGGGTGGAAGAGGGAGCTGGGATTGCTATGTAAAATAAGATTGGTTTTAATTTAAATAAAATTCATTAAAAAAGAAAATGCTTCCAAAAGTTGTGGCTGTAGGCAAGCCTATAGGGTATTTTCTTAATTAGAGATTTATGAGGGATGGCCCAGTTCATGGTGGGTGGTGCTTGGGCTGGTGATCTTGTGGGCTGGTGATCTTGTGATCTTGCATGTTATAAGAGCAAGCCAATGAGAAGCATTCTTCCATGGCCTCTGCATAAACTCCTGACTACAGGTTCCTGATCTGATTTCCTTGAGTCCCTACCCTAGCTTCCATAATTAACAATGATATGGAAGTCTAAGCCAAATAAAACCTTTTTTTAGTCATGTTGTTTCATCACAGCAATAGTAACCAAAACTAAGACATTTCCCATAAAAGTCATTTAAGAAATACCTTCTGACCACCCAGTGTATACAAAACCTTTCTGTGAGATGTGAATATAATTAATATAAACAAATGCACTTTAAGAAAAAATTTCTACAGCCAATATAGGCATCAGTAATTCTATGTATAATACGTTTGATTTATGAAAATACTGGCTAGGGTTTCTTATCTTCCCAAAGTGCCTAGCTGAACTAGAAAAAAATCAAAAGCACTAAGTAGTCCTGATTTTTTGTAGAGTATAAACTTGCTGGCATGGCACAAAACTTAAGTTCAAATGGATCAAAGACCTCAACATAAATCCAGCCACACTGAACCTCTTAGAAGAGAAAGTGGGTGGTACCCTTGAACAAATTGGTACAGGAGACCGCTTCCTGAACATAACACCAGTAGCACAGACACTGAGGTCAACAATTAATACATGGGATCTCCTGAAACTGAGAAGGACACAGTCAACAAGACAAAAAGGCAGCCCACAGAATGGAAAAAGATATTCACTAACCCCACGTCTAACAGAGGGCTGATCTCCAAAATTTACAAAGAACTCAAGAAGCAAGTCTCTAAAACACCAAAGGATCAAATTAAAAAGTGAGCTACTGAACTAAATAGAGAATTATCAATAGAGGAGTCTAAAATGGCTGAGAGGCACTTGAGAAAGTGCTTTACATCCCCAGTCATCAGGAAAATGCAAATCAAAACAACTCTGAGATACCATCTTATTCCAGTCAGAATGGCTAAAACCAAAAACACCCATGACAGTTTATGCTGGAGAGGTTTTAGAGAAAGGGGAACACTCCTCCACTGCTGATTGGGAGTGCCAACTCGTACAGCCACTTTGGAAATCAGTATGGAGATTCCTCAGAAAAATGAGAATCAGTCTACCACAAGACCCAGCAATTTCACTCTTAGGGCATATACCCAAAAGATGCCCATTCATACAACAAGGACACCTGTTCCACTATGTTCATAGCAGCATTATTTGTAATAGCCAGAACTTAGAAGCAACCTAGATGCCCCTCAACTGAAGAGTGGACAGAGAAAATGTAGTACTTTTACACTATTCAGCAGAAAAAAACAATGGAATCCTGAAATTTGCAGGCAAATGGATGGCACTAGAAGAAACCATCCTGAGTGAGGTAACCCAGTCACAAAAAGACAAACATGGTATGTAATCTCTCATATATGGATTTTAGACATAGATCTGGAGATTGCCAGTCTACAATCCCATGGCCAGAGAGTCTGGGGAACAGAACCTTCATTCAATGGCTGATGGAAGAAGAGGCAGACTCCTACAGCTAAACACTGAGGTGAACTCAAGGAACCCAGTGACAGAGGGAGGACTAATGTGCAAAGGGGTTAAGACTGGGCTGGTTTAACCCCCAGAAACAGCTGACCTGACAAGGGTTAGCTCTTGAATCCCAGACTGATGGCTGGGAATCTAGCATGGAACTGATCAATACCCCCTGAATGTGGGCATCAGTGAAGAGACCTAGGCAATCTATTGGGCCTTGGGTACTAGATCAGTATTTATCCCTCATATACAAATGGACTTTGGGTGCCCATCCCACAATGTGAGATGCTCTCTCAGCCTGGACTCTTGTAGGAGGGCCTAGGCCCTGCCCTAAATGAAATGACAGACTCTGGATACCCCCTTCCATGGAGGGTCTCACCCTCCCTGGGGAAAGGAGAGATGTTGGGAGGATTGGTAGAAGGGCATGGGAGAAGGGGAGGGGAAGTGAGAGGGACCTGGGATTGACATGTGAAGCAACCTTGTTTCTAATTTAAATTTAAAAATAAAATAAAATAAATAAAAAATAAAAAGGGGGCAGGAAAGATGGCCCAGCAGTTGAGAACACTGACTGCTCAACCCAGGTTCAATTCCCAGCACCCACATAGCATCTCACAAGTATCTGTTACTCCAGTTCCTGGAGATCCAGCATCCTCTTACAAAAATATATAGGCAGACAGACATACAGACAGACAGACAGAGAGAGCAAATTTATATCTATATAAATGCAAAAAGGGGGCAGCTTAGTTTGATAAATTGATAAATTGAGCACATCATTTATTTCTATCACTTCTTTTGCAAAGGGCTGAAAGAAAGTGATTTCTTTCTCAAATACCAGTCAAAGAAAATAAACAACACATATTTAATCACCTTGGATGAAAAAAATTGCTGGCATGGTGATTAGCATTCAGAGAAAATGGTAAGAATACCACTGAGAAAGAGCATAGGCATGTCAAGGCTTCATTTGTGTAAGTGAAGGAACATTTATATACCTCCATCATACTTTAACTGTCACTTACTTGCATTGTGCAATTTGAGGACTTTCTTCAAGGTGGAGGTCAGGGGGAATGTGCCCTGACCACAGAAAGAGCCAGTGAAGTCATCCATATCTATAGCCCAGATCATGGCACCTCCAAAACTGCTTTTCTTAAGCCACTGAGCCTGGTTAAGGAAAAAAGGACAGCAGGAATCACTTGGTTTCCTGGGACTCCGAGTCAGGGCCCAGCACATCCAAGGGACTAACCTTACCTTGATATGAAAGCTCTTGATGTTGTCATAGCCAACCCATTCATTACCATAGTAGGCATATGGCACTTGTTGAGCAGCATTCCAAACCTGAGTGGCTCCACTCTTCAGGAATGTGCAAATCTTTAAAAAGTTAAGAATTTCAGATCCTTGAAATATTAATTCCATGTAAGAAAAAATGTGCACATATAGTTGCTTTCCTTCCTTGTATTATCTACACAGGTTTTCCCCAATTCTCTAATTGATTATATTTGTAGTTAAGAAGACTCAGATGTGTTTTATTTTTGTACTAATATCACAACTAAGGCCTTACCAATAGTAAGTAGTTACCATAGACCTACATCTCCAGTCTTTTTGTTTACTTTTTTGTTTGAAAGTGTATCTCAATCTATGTACCTTAGACTCTAGTCAAGATGATGATAATTTTGCCCATGTGAGGCACTATGCCAGTCAATTAAATGAGTGATATATCACTGTGTAGTATGAGCCCATTGTTTTATTTCTATGATGCTGGAAACTGAAACTAGGGCTATATATGTCCTAGACAAGAGATGAACAAATGAGATATATGTCTGTCTTAAAATACTTTTAAATATTCACAGATGGTCTATATTTTTAGTTTTGTTTAATTTTTAGTTCTGGAATCCACAGTAATCTGAGACTTTTGATTGTTTACATATTTTTTATTTATGAAAATGTACAAATGTACTTAAGAATATGGTGTGTAAAGTGAAAGGACAATGTGTTACTAACAGCTTAACATTTTTGGTTACTTAGATACTATGGTATAAAATTTAAGTCCTTGAAATAAAATTCTGCTTAGTGTAAATATGAGATAATATGAATAAGTCAGTTTATTTTTCATTTTAGGTGCATGAAATTTATAAAGCACTGAAAAGCTACCTACTAACCTCAGAGTAGGCCCAGAGTCCAGTTTTCTTTGTGTAGGGCCCTGGATGGCCACCACGATTGCTAGGGGCACCAATTCCAGTTTTAGAGGAGTCACTCAGGATGAAGGTGTGTCCATATGCTGGGAATCCAACAATGAGCTTCTCAGGTGCTGCCCCTTTTTGCTTCCAATTATCCATGATGTATTTCTGCAGGGACAAAAGTTACTATAGGGCCTAAGCCACTGACCACCTATGATTAGTTGTGTTGACTTGTCATTCTATTAGTTCAATTTCTCCATGTTAACTTAAAAAGGATTAAGCAGCTTCTTCTACGACATTTTGATGAATATGAATTTATTTCAAAGAGAAATGATTGGTGACTTAAGAAAATGACATTTGCATTAATTGTGTTGATTTTTTAACAAAATCTCCATATGATTTGCCTTTTCCCTTATTTGTGTAGTATCTTACTATGTTATGGAAGGCCTTAATGCCAGTTTCAGCTGGAGATTTATAAAGGGGACTGTTTTCTCCAGTGTAGCCTTCCCAAGATCCATGGAGGTCATATGTCATGACTTGAATGTAGTCCAAGGACCTGGGTAAAAAGAAAGTTCTTAAAACAATCTCATATGGCTATTATCCATACGTATGCCAGAAAAACACCCTTTACAAAATGCTCTGAGCAAAGACCTTGGGTAGTGAGACATCCCAATGAAAAGAAAACTCTGCTCACAACACATAATAATAATACAGGACAATATGCATCACTCACCGTGACAGTTGGGAAACCTCATAGCCAGATTTGATTGTGGCGATAGCACCATCAACTGCGGCAGTGACCAAGAGCCTCGGCTTTTTATTCTTACTCACCTCCTTTTCAAAAGCTTTACGTATTTCCTACAGAGTAATAGTGTATAAGATGTTGTCATTGGAACTAATTTAGCTCCTTAAACAAAATATATTCTAAAGTGATTTTACTTATTTTATCTTATTTTAGTATGTCAACATCTCAATAAATTCATTAGGGTAGAAGATGTTAATAAAATTTTCAGATGCCTAACATTCACAGATAATAGAGATGTTTTCACAAACTCACACAGAAAGTTAGTTGTCACTCACAAACCAAGATATAGTTCTTAAATATCAATCAATGGATCTTCTGCACTATCATGCTCTGGAAATACACTTAACCCTGCATCCAGCTTTCAGTTGTGCAGAAAGCTGCTTCAATTTATTCAACAGATCTCCTATATCATGTGACTGATAGCTCTTCCAATGTAATGGAGAAGGGAAAACAACTGGAAGACAAATCACTTTTAGTACCAGATGATAATTCTATGATATGTTCCATGATTCAAATATTATTTAGAATACTAGGTTTTACTCTTATTATACTACTATATCAGAGTACCATATGTATTAATAGAATCCTCAGAAAATTTGCCTTATAGATAGTTAAAATGCCTAGGACATTTAATTGGTAAAAGCAAGGTATTTTACTGTCTTCAAATATTGAACCCATACATTTCAGGTTTTACTCTTCATTGTGTATTATATCAACGGGGGTTCTATGATGACTATTAAGGTAGTCATCAATCTGACTGCAGGGGAAGGCCAGTTTGGGCACCCTCTCCGCTATTGCCTAGAGTCTTATCTGGGGTCATCCTTGTAGATTCCTGGGAATTTCCCTAGTGACAGGTTTCTCACTAACCCCATAATTGCACTCTCTATCAAGATATCTCTTTCCTTGCTCTCCCTCTCTGTCCTTTACCCAACTTGACCTTCCCATTCCCTCATGTTCACCTCTCCCTTTCCTTCTCCTCTCTCCCCTTACCTCCCATCCTCTCTCCTCATCCCCACATTCCCAATTTACTCAGGAAATGCTGTCTATTTCCCCTTCCTAGAGGGACCCATGTATGCCTCTCTTCAGGTCCTTCTTGTTACCTACCTTCTCTGGGGTTGTAGACTGTAGGCTGGCTAACCTTTGCTTTATGTCTAATATCCACTTATGAGTAAACACATACCATGTTTGCCTTTCTGGGTCTGGGTTACCTCCCTCAGGAAGGTTTTTTCCTAGTTCTATCCATTTGACTGCAAATTTCAAGGTGTCACTGAGCAGTAGTCCATTGTGTAAATGTAACATATTTTCTTTATCCATTCTTTGATTGAGGGGCATCTAGGCTGTTTCCATGTTCTGGATATTACAAATAATGCTGCTATGAACATAGTTGAGCAAATGTCCTTGTGGTATGAGTGTGCATCCTTTACATATATGCTCCAGAGAGGTATTGCTGGATCGTGAAGTAGATTTTTTCCCAATTTTCTGAGAAACTACCATACTGACTTCCAAAGTGGCTGTACAAGTTTTCACTACTACAACAAACAATGGAGGAGTGTCCCCCTTACTCCACCATAGTAGACTGATCACGGTCCAAAGAAAAGCTACATACCCAATATATGCAGGCAGAAAAATTGGACTAAATAAAATTTTTAAAAATTGAAACATAGGAGTCATTTTGTTAGTATGTTTATTTAGTGAAATGATTGTAGGCAAATTTCCCTTAGGGACCATTAACTATTTACTCGTGTTATTAGCCTCATTGATACTGTCATGAGTAGGTTCTTTCTAAAGAGAAAGATTTGCATTTTCTAGGAATGAGAGAAGTTATTCCTGCTTTCCTTACCTGTATCAACACAGTAAAGAGATGCTTGTCCCTAGGAGGGCTTCCATGACAACCAGGGTACTGCCAAAATAAGTTCAGTCCATCAAAGCCATATTTGCGCAGGAATTTGATAACTGAAGTAATGAAAGACTGGCGGCCCTCTGGAGCAGAGACCAGGGTGATAAAACTGAAGAATACCCAAAATAATCATAATAAGGTTTCAGGAATAAGAACACACTAGAATACAAAAGTTTTATTGATTAATATCTGCCTCTGAGATCTTTACCATAATCTTTCTTCATATTAAATCAATTCTCTGGGTTTCTTTGGGCATCCTGGTATAATCCCTGCTCTTAGAAGACATTCACTTTATTTTATTTCTACTGATTCTAACTTTCTTTGAAATTGGTCTTATTGTTTTGAAAGCAGATAGCACAGTTCAGCATGTTTGGACTTTAAATAGTTCCCAAGTACATGTACTCTCAAAAAAGTCTTACTGTTAACATTTTGTTTCTCTTCTTTTGGAAGTAAAAAGCAAAATTATGTCAGTTGTTCCTCTGGATTTGTATTCTGAGATACTTTGAGAAGGAGGTGTGTTAGCAAGCAGATGACAAAGTCTTAGGGGATGGAGTACCAGAATATCCATACAAATTTAAGCATGAAAAAAACACTGGTCTTTGCAGTGCCTTTTAGTTAGTATTGAGGTTCCAGTATAAAAATTTATTTAGTTAACATATTCACTTAGCTTGTCTTCACTAGTAAATGAATGGAAATCTCTTTAGAGGACTTACGGGGCAGTTCCAGAGTTCCAGCATCCAATGGACAGGAGTGTTTTCAGCTGGTTGTTTCTTTAAAGCAACAGAAAAAAAGGTACATTTACACAATGGAGTACTATTCAGCAGAAAAAAAAACAATGGAATCCTGAAATTTTCAGGCAAATGGATGGCAGTAGAAGAAACCATCCTGAGTGAGGTAACCCAGTCACAAAAAGACAAACATGTACTATCTCATATATGGATTTTAGACATAGATCTGGGGAGTGCCAGCCTATAATCCCATGGCCAGAGAGTCTGGGGAACAGAACCTTCATCCAATGACTCATAGAAGCAGAGGCAGACTCCCATAGCTAAACACTGAGCTGAACTCAAGGAACCCAGTGACAGAGAGGGAGGACTGATGAGCAAAGGGGTTAAGACTGGGCTAGTTTAACCCCCAGAAACAGCTGACCTGACAAGGGGTAGCTCTTGAATCCCAGACTGATGGCTGGGAATCCAGCATGAGACTGATAAGGACCCTCTGAATGTGGATGTCAGTGAGGAGGCCTAGGCAATCTATTGGGCTTTGGGTAGTAGATCAATATTTATCCCTAGCATACAAATGGACTTTGGGTGCCCATCCAACAATGAGAGATGACTCTTGAGGGAAGGTCTAGGTCCTGTCCTGGATGAAATGACAGACTATGGACACCGCCATTGCGGGCCTCACCCTCCCTGGGAAAATAAGGGGCTATTGGGGGGAGCTTGGTGGGAGGGCATGGGAGGAGGGTAGGGAAAGGGAGTGGGACCTGGGATTGACATGTGAAGCAACCTTGTTTCTAATTTAAATTTAAAAATAAAAATGTTAAAAAAGAGAAAAGAAAATTAAAATCTCATGCATTTTTCTATTTAAAATGGCAGTTTTCAGTATTGAGCCTTTTCATCTGATTCATCCTTATCATGATATGATACAATAAACTATGAAAAACTATGAACAATGTTTCCTAGTACTGGAAATTTCATTACAATTTTTGTATTGTCATTATCCTAAAATACATTAATGCCACTTGCACAAATCTAACCTAAGGTATAGACTTTTATAAGGCAGTATTTTTATTTTTGAAATTATACAGTAGCTGAGTGGTGGTGACACATACCTTCAATCTCAACACTTAGGGAGGTAGAGGCAAGTAGATCTCTGTGAGTTCAAGGCCAATCTTGTCCCCTTCCTCTTTTCAAATCCTTCCATATACAGCTCTACACTTTTCTTCAAATTCATGTCCTCCTTTTCACTAATTGTTATTGTATGCATAAATATATGTGTGTATATATGTATGTGTGCCCATATACATATATATGTATATAAATGTTTTTAAGAAAATTTCATACATGACCACTGCATCTACATATCTCCATCTGAAACTTTCTCCACTCTAACTCCTCTAAAATGATAGATCTTATTTGAGATATCATGTTTTCAGTATTGATAACAATTAATACAAATTCAGTGAGTTGGAAATACACACATTATTGGGAATATTGATTCTAAAATATCAACTTCTAAAGTGCAAGTTTCATGAGAAGACAATGCTAAAGTTTCAGGTGCCTCTTCCTCCTCACGATTCTGAGTTGGTTGTGCTGAAATAGGGACTCACATATTATGGGGTAATCTGTGTTGCAAGAATATAAAATAATATACTCCCATTAAAAAATAGTACTTAAGTTCTTACACCTGTATGCATAGTTCCATTAAGAGTTGCCTGTCTTCCTTGTCTTTTTGTGAATATACTGAACAGATTTGTAAATTCCAAGATACCAGGAATTGTTCCATTTTTCATAACAGATGATTCTTTTTTCTAGGAAAACTGCATTTATTTGGAAATTATCAACATGTAGCCAAATGAAAATATATTGAATTACCAAAATATAGACAGACTTGAAAATGAATTTATAACTGAAATAACACCTAGAACTAAACAAAATGAGAATATAACATTTTCAAACACAGTGTACAAATAATATATTGTTTATGAATAAATTCAGAAGCTTATATGCTTTCAATAACAAGACAAAAAGGCAGCCCACAGAATGGGAAAAGATATTTACAAACCCCACATCTGACAGAGAGTTGATCTCCAAAATTTACAAAGAACTCAAGAGGCAAGTCTCCAAAACACCAAAGGATCCAATTGAAGAGTGGGTACAGAACTAAATAGAGACTTTTCAATAGAGGAGTCTAAAATGGCTGAGAGGCACTTAAGAAAGTGCTCAATATTCTTGGCCATCAGAGAAATGTAAATCAAAACAACTCTGAGATACCATCTTACTCCTGTCAGAATGACTAAAATCAAAAACACCAATGGCAGTTTATGCTGGAGAGTATGTGGAAAAAGGGGAGCACTCCTCCAGTGCTGGTGGGAGTGCTAACTCCTACAGCCACTTTGGAAATCGCTATGGAGATTCCTCAGGCAAACAGGAATCAACCTACCACAAGACCCAGCAATTCCACTCTTAGGCATATAACCAAAAGATGTGCATTCATACAACAAGGACATCTGTTCCACTGTATTCATAGCAGCATTATTTGTGATAGCCAGAACCTGAAAGAAACCTAGATGCCCCTCATCTGAAGAGTGGATAGAGAAAATATGGTACATTTATACAATGCAGTACTATTCAGTGGAAAATAAACATTGGAATCTTGAAATTTGCAGGGAAATTGGTGGCACTAGAAGAAACCAACACGAGTGAGGTAACCCAGTCACAAAAAGACAAACATATACTCACTCATATATGGATTTTAGGCATGGATCAGGGGAGTGCCAGCCTACAATCCCAGGGCCAGAGAGTCTTGGAAACAGAACCTTCATCCAGTGACTGATGGAAGCAGAGGCAGACTCCCATAGCTAAACACTGAGCTGAACTCCTGGAACCCAGTGACAGGGAGGACTGATGAGCAAAGGGGTAAAGACTGGAATTGTTTAACCCACAGCTTATCTGAACTAGAGGGAGATATTAGAACACAGACTGATGGCTGGGAGACCAGCATGGGACTGGTCAAGACCCCCTGCATGTGGGTGTCAGTGAGGAGGCCTAGGCAATCTATTGGGCCTTGGGTAGTAGATCAGTATTTATCCCTGGCACACAAATGGATATTGGGTGACCATCCCACAATGAGGGATGCTTTCTCAGCCAGGACTCTTGTAGGAGGGCCTAGGCCCTGCCCTGAATGAAATGACAGACTCTGGATACCCCCTTCCATGGAGGGTCTCACCCTCCCTGGGGAAAGGAGTGTGGATTGGGGTGAGGGTCTGGGGGGTTGGTATGAGGGCATGGGAAGAGGGGAGGGATTGGGAGTTGGGATTGACATGTGAGGCAACCTTGTTTCTAATCTAAATTTTAAAATAAAAAGCAAAGTAAAAACCTTAAAATTAAACATAAAACAAAACCTACACCTAATTGTATATATTTTTATTCATTTTACATAGCAACCACAGTTTGCCCTACCTCATCTCCTCCCTGTCCTTCCCACCTCCCCTATCCTATCCCCATCCATTCATCAGAAAGGGTAGGGCCTCCCATGGGGAGTCAACAAAGCCTGGCACATTCAGTTGAGGCAGTAACAAAGTCTCCACCCATACAGAGATCAAGACTGAACAAGGCATCCCATCATACGGAATGGGTTTCAAAAAATCAGCTCATGCTTGTCCCACTGCCAGGCATCCCACAAACAGATCAGGCTACAAAATTTTTCCCCACATGCAAAGGGCCTGATTCGGTCCCATGCAGGCTCCCCAACTGTTTGTTGGTCTAGAGTCCATGAGCTCCCTTAAGTTCAGGTCAACTGTTTCTATGGGTTTCCCCATCATAATCCTGAACTCCCTTCCTCATATAATCCCTCTTCCCTCTCTTTGACTGGACTCCCATAGATCAGCTTGATGTTTGGATGTGAAGTTTTTTGAGTGATTAAAAACACAAATAAAGGAATAAATTAGATTATTTTTAAAATACTAAGCAGAGTAGGTGATATATATATGTGCACATATTTATCTGCAGGTGGAATTATGAAATTGGACTACTACCTCACATCAAAAGTAAAAACCAAACCAAAGTAGAATAAAAACACAAACACCAGTTGTGAAACTATAACACTACCTGAAGGGAACATGGGTAAATCTGAACAAATGTGATCTGCAGAGTGATTTTTTAGAAAGATCCTCAGGACACAGACAACAGAAGGAAATATGTTCAGTGGGATCGCATCATACCACATCTTCTCACAACAAAGGAGACACAATCAACAGACTAAGGAGACAAACTAAAGCACAAGAGGAAATATTTGAGGACTGTCTGGTAAAGGGCTAATATCCAATACATATCATGAACCAAAACCCCTGAGAATAAACAACCTGAGTGGAAAATGGACTGAAATCATGACTGGACATTTTTTAAAGCAAGACATAATACTGGTAAATGAATGAAAAAAAGTACCTTAAGACCATTCAAACCAGAGATAATTTAATTAAAACCATATTGCATTATGAAATATAATTTCAAGATATCACATTTATACAACATGGTGCTTATAGTTTATAACAATAAGGAGCACAGCCACAAAATTACACATCTTCCCTTTCTCTTACCTTTTTTTTAAATCATTAAATTCTTTGTAGTCATCCAAGGCTTTCTTTTTGGTCATGGTAATATTATTTTTCCAAATCCCAACAAAGGAATAAATTAGGTGAGTACATAGGCAGGGGTCAATGTCATGAGGTTTAATACCTTCTACATCTGATTGATACTGAGCCCAGTTGTTGAAGTAACACATCAGCTGGTAGGCAGAGCCTGTAAAAGGTGAAGAATAAGAATAACAGCCTTTTGTTGATGTGATAAACTGTGTTCATAGTTTGCCCCTGCTTCCTTCCTTATCTGTACCGATATCTGGTTAGAAGTGATTGTTGTGAGAACTCTTGAAGGCACAGATGTAAATATTTCACTAGACCCAAGATAAATGATAAATGAATGTTTATTGGGGAACAGTTACACAGTTCATAACAAAGAACCACAGGAGCACTTCTCTACCCTTCTTATCAGATCCACTGGCCCAAGAGAAAGAGTTGGCAAGCTAGATCACACCTCATGCTTCCCTCTTTCTGCTTCCATCTGTCTGAAGCCATGCCCAAATGGATGTGCCACCATTACAGGTTCACAGGCAAGATGCCGCTACAAACTCTCAAAGACTAACCCATAATTCCAACTCTGGAACAGTAATTGATTTAAAATAGGTTATGTTAAATTTGGGAAAATTAACTGGAGGAGTTTGGTTTGCTTAAACATGTAATAATACAGTCCCGTTGTCATGTGGAGCTAGGTGGTTATCAATTTATACCTCTCTGATGGTCAAGCTGTATATGATAGCAGGGACAATAAAACTGAAACAGTGCACTCTCCATAAAGTAAACCTGTCTCATTTCCTAGTGTATATTGTCTCTTGATAAGGTTTTTTCAAAACTAAATATTAGGATATAATTTAATAATCACCTGCATTAAGAAGAATATTGTATTACAAGTAGTTTATGGGGAACTGAGGCTTTGTTAATAACAAAATATACAGTCAATGACTTACCCAGATGGGCATTCAGTAGCAAGTTGAGACCTAGAAACAGAGAATACATATTTACCCACTATTCACTAGGATCTGACTCAGAAAGCTTGTGGTCTGTCCTGCTTGCTATAGTTGCCACAACCTCAGTAATACATTTCAGCTATTGGATGCATTTGGCCTTACATTATACAACAAAAGCAGAGAATGTGTTTCTCCTAGAGCCTTGAGATGTTTCATATGAAGCCTTTTGCAAATCCCTCTGAAATGATATCAGAATGACAATGCTGTAAGACTCAATATGCCTCTACTCAGCTTTAACACAGTACATTTTCTTATGACAGGTTCTCACTAAGACTGGTTGTGGCCTAGAGTTTCTTCTGCCTCAGCATCTTAGATCCTGGAATTATAGGCTTGAACCACCATCAAGATGATCAGACCACTATTGCTCTGACTTCTTTACAAATTATGGTTGATGTTTCATGTTTAAAACATTGTGACATTCAGTAAAGTTTGGAAACTGCAGGTTTAGTGCAGCTAGTGTATTTTGGAATTACCTAAAGTATCTATAAAATCATGCTGTATGAATGATTGAATTTCTAAGAATTATACTTTATGTTATTGCTAACACAGGAATATTACACATGATAATTAAGGAATAATTCTGAGTACTGATAATCTTTAGACAAAGTTATTCTACTAACATAACCAAGTAAATAGATAGCAGTGAGAAAGAAAGAAACCTAGTTCACTCAACAGAGGTAAATCATGCCTGTAAACATAGCCAACTACCCAGGGCTAGTAAAGTCCTAGACCTTGGAGGAGAATTTCCAGCTTCCACTTTAACTAAACCAGCATATTTTGTAAACACATATATTTGTCCTTCTACCCAAAGTTAAGTGGGGTTCTTGCACAGTGACAGCTGAACCAAGCTCATGGAAACTCATGAACTCTAGACCTACAACCATGGAGACTCCAGGGGACTGAACTAGGTCCACCATATGTGGGAGACAGTGTGAAGCTTGGACTAGCTGAAGGGCTTATCAGTAAGACCATGATACAAACCTGGTACATGAGCTAGTTTATTGAAGTCCATTCCTTAGGGTGGGATGCCATGCGCAGTCTTGATACATGGGAGAGGGACCTGGCCCTATCCCAACCTATTGTGCTAGACTATGTTCCCCATGAGAGCCCTTACCCCTGAGGAGGGGTGCACAGGAGGTGGGCTAGGGGGAGGTAGGGGAGGTAGGAAGAGATGATGGGGGGTTTGAGGATAGGTGAGAGATAGAACTGTGGTTAGAATTTAAAATGAAATCAAAAAATAAAAAATGGAAAAATAAATAAAGTGTGGTTCTTACCTATCATTAAACAAATATTTCTTTGGAGCAGATTGAGATCATTACAGAAAACAACAACTTGTAACTGATCAAAATGCAGAGAAAAACTGACCATGTGGTACCCAGCTCTAACTGATATAACTCCTGTGCCCTCGAGGATAATAGTAGAAGATAGTGTAGAAATATTGTAGGAGCTAGAGGAACAGGAGGATTTCTATGAGAGCTCATCTCCTAGAAATGTCAGATAAACTACACCCATGAAATCTCATCAGCATCACTGCCTCAAAAGGGACACCAATATCAATACTAACATCAAAGGGGTAATTTCACTGGGTCTCAACCTTACACAAAAAACTACAGACAACAAATGAATGTTATGAGTAAGAGAAATAGTCTTCCCCAGGGAAAGTCCTAAAATAGTGATCCAGTAGCAAGCAGTCAGCACAAACATCATATGCATACCAATATCTTTACAAAAATAATAATGAAGAGACCTGGTAAGATGAAGTCTCTGTATCTGATTACACACTTACCAATGATGAGAATAAACTTGGACATGGTTGCCTTCAGTACTGATCCAACAGAGTCTTGATTAGTTTTATATAACATTTTTGTCCTTAGAAATCACAAAGGTTTCCAAATAGAAAATGTTTCCTAGACTATATATGCGGCTAATTGGTAAAGCAACAGCTCTCTACTACTGATTCTGCTTTTAATGTCATGCCTCCTAGTAGGAGGTAGAGTCCACAGTTATACAAAGTACTCCCAGGCTTAATAACCTTTTCCCCACATCCCAAGGCTGGTAAACATCTGTTAAGATACAGCAGTCAGGTTTTATTTCACAGGATTTTCATACCTGGCATCAAAGCATGTTTCTATTGGCAGGTAAACAACAAAAACCTTTGAAAGTTATTAGCTCTGCTTGAATCGTGCTTGTCCTTGGAATTATTCACATGTAATTTATATGGTCAGTGACTAAAAACTTACCCTTTTCCTATGGAGGGACCACTTTATCAACATTCTGTCTACATTTATTCTTTGTAATTGGCAAGATTTGGGAAATTTAGGAGTTCAAAGAACTGTAGCTGCAGTTACTGGGGAGGTAGATGTAGATGGCCAAGGAGTTGAGGGAAGAACTCAGACTGTGACCTGAGAGGTCAAATTTCAGAAACTTACTTGGAATTTGGATGTACAAATTTGAAGTTGAGAGAAATGTGAGTTAGAAATAGAAATTTAGGAGTTATCAGAATAAAAATGATGTTTAAGAATATTTAAGGATGATTTTGTAAATAACATAAGCCTGGATGAAAACAAAATAATTGTTTAGATTGAGCCCAGGAGTTCTCCCATGTCTAAATATCAAAAAGACAAGAAATGAGAATTCAGACTAAGGAATTGATGACCATTCAAGAAATAGAAAGGGACAAAGTGATAGCCTTAATCTTTGAAATAAATTTCCCAAAGTATGAGGCAATCAAGTAGTTGGTGGCTCACACCTATAATCCCAGCAATGGGAGACTTAAACAAGTGGATTTCTATGAGTTTAAGTCAAACATGGACTACATAGTGAACTCCATGCTAACTAGGGCAACAGTAATATCTTGTCTTCAAAACAAAAAAATAAGGAAGGTTGGAATGGAAGGAGGAAAGGAAACATGGATAGAGGAAGAAAGAGAGAATCTGGCATACCTATAATGTCAAATGTTGTTAATGTATATTATTTCTATGTCAGTACATGGTTGTAACTACAATCAATATCCGACTCATAATTATTTCTAAATACTTTACATAGATAAGACAGCTTATGAATGGTCAATGAACAACTGAAAAAGAATAGTTGTGATCATTCACAGAACATCATCCTAATCTCTGTTGCTTCTTTGCCCACAAACAAGATGGTTGTCCTAGGAAAAACTGAAGGAGCAGCAACAAGTTCTCATATTGGAAGAATAGTCATGCTGAGTAGTATGGCTTTATCTATCCAATCTCATCATGATATACTCCCAGTCAGACAATTGCAAAAGTTAGGAAGTTGAGGTGAAAGTTTAGGGAAACAAAGAAAGCCAAGCAGAAAAAAATGAGATCAGAAATAATTTCTTTGAAAAGATTAAAAACACTGATGAACCATGAGGCAGATAGACAAAAAAGAGAAAGTATGGAAAAGTAATTGTTGGAATATAAATAAAATATATTCATTACAACCAATTCCATGGAAATAAAATGACTGAAATAATATACTAAAACAATTGCATAAAAAGATACTAATAGTCTAAATGTAATAATCAGATTCTGAGTACTTAAGTGCTAAAGGTGAGTAGGGGCCCTGCTCTGAGCCACAACTTCCTACATCCCCCGGCTCCATCTTGCTGGGCATTTTCTGTGCCTAGAGAGGACCTGCCCCCCCACAAGGATTGCCCTGAATCTGCCCACCTGCACCCATTGAAGTATTAGACCTGCTTGAACGAACTGGAAAGGATTCTTAGTCCCAAACCCACGAGGAGAGGAAGAGACCCCATGAGCTCCCACTGAAAGAAAGGATGGAAAGAAAGCAATATAAAAACACAGATAACAGCAGATGAACCAGTTTGACACCACCAGAGTCTAGAAACTACACCAGCAAGACCTGAACATACCAACACAGATGAAACAGAAAAGAATGACCTTCAAAACAACCTCCTGAAAGTGATAGAGGCCCTCAAAGAGGACATGAGAAAATCCCTTAAAAAATGGAAGAAAACACAAACCAAAAAATGCAAGAAATCAACAAATCTCTTAATAAAAGCCAAGAAAAAACAATTAAACAGATGAAGGAAACAATTCAAACAGTCCAAGGCCTGAAAACCAAAATGGAGACAATATGAAAAACACAGATTTTCTTACATTCAGGTCTTATGAAGATAATTTCTCAGTGACATTCCCTCCGCACAAATGGCTCAAGCTTGTTTAATGTCTTTAGAAAAACTAGTTAAACAAACTTTATAAATCATTGGATATTAAAATTCAGTTGAAACCTGAACTAAGGAATCTTTCTATTAATTCACTATAAGCTGCTGGTTATTTCCACTATTCTTTAAAATATTTCAGGTATTATTTTTGTGATCATCTGTGGATCTATCTCAGTGGTTGTACATTCCTTCTTCTGTTTTAGTAGTGGGATTCTGCATTTTTCCTTCAGTTTTTTTATTGTTTTGCAGGGTATAAAGTTATAACAGCCTTTGTTGAGAGTTGTTCTAATTCAAATCTTTGAATAGATCTTTGAAACAGCTCTTTCTCATCTTGCACTTTGCATAACTAAACTAGACTCCTGAAAGTACTATTCAAGACTCATTCTCTACTGGATTCTCAAATATCCTTCCTTCCACAGTTCCCATGTTTGTGTTAATTAATGTACTACTTAATATAATTTTGAGAATTTCCATGTACTTGTGTCCATTAGCTATTGGGATGTAGTAATTGACAAGGGTTATAATTAAGTAAATTTACAAATCATGAAGAGTGACTTTCACTATATCATGTGCTTGACTTGTATTATTTCAATTTAAAAATAGCTTTGCCAGAAAAATTTTCTGAATTAAACTTTTAGCTTTTCTGTTTTGTTAAAAAAAAGAAAAACACAAACTGAGGTAATGCTGGAAATCAAAAGGCTGAAAAAACAATCAGGAACTACAGATGCAAGCATAACTAACAGAATACAAGAGATAGGAGACAGAATCTCGT